GCGAGTGTGGATCCTGATATGGTGTTCAGCTCAATTTGATCACCAAATATTGTAAATCTCAAATTTAATTAATGCAACTCAGGATCCCAGTTGCTGTAAGCCAGCGCGTTCCCTTCCAGCATTTCTTGCCCTTGTGGACATATTTCATCACCGGCTCTCCAAAGTCCACATCCTTCAGCAACTTGGCCTTTTTCATAGAGAGCTTTGGTGTCTGAAAATGCATGCAGCCAATGCTGTTTGACCACAACATTGACCTCGTGGGTGTTTTGGCACCAAAACCTGCCATCCAAAAGGCAACATCATAGACCTGAATCCTGGCAGCTACATCTCGCATAAGCCCATATTGCATCAGCAGCGAGGAACGTGGTTGCTCAAGAGCCCAAACCCCTCCAAGGGCATGGATCAGCAGGAAGAGGAAGCTGCACCTGCAACAGACGATGCGCAATGCACAGGCCTCTGCAGGCCAACAAACCAGGCCAGCAAAGGCCCACAGGCAGGGCCTGCGAAGGCCCTGCCATGGCCCACCCATCCAACAATATACCAGGCCGGCAAAGGCCCACAGGCAGGGCCTGCAAAGGCCCAACCATCCAAGCTTAGCCCCCTGCCTGGCTGCCATGCAATTGCCCTCATCCACTGCAGGCCCTGAAGCACCCTCAGGAACTAGCCAAGTTCTGAAAATAGAGCCACGAGATGTTGCAACCCACGAGGAGCATAGTATGCCAAACCATGCCAGAGTTGGTGCATCAATGCGGGAACGAAGTATTGTAGCCACATGCAGCCTAAGTCCAGCGCAGTCAGAATACACCCACGCAACACATCTTGCAAAAACAAGGTGACAAGAAACGCAAAGCCAGCAGGAGCATTGCAATCCATAGCACCACCAGGAACATACTTGATGTCCACACTGGCTGTGCGATAGCCGCTGCATCGAGCTTCATCCGTGAGCGCTCCACATCCAGCAAAGAACTCCAACAGATCGTACACCTGCACTCATGACTGTACACATGCACATACTAAATTTGCATGGTGCAAGAGGTTGCAGAAACACTCAGGACATCTCATGACATTCACCCTTTGTTGCTCACAGAGAGGTCCACAGTTCAGCTGTATTGAAATTGAAATCAAGGCTCCAGGCGTCATGCCTGCGTGCCAAAATGGCAACATGTACAGCCAGCCCCTCACTTCTTGCTCATCTTCCTTGGAACTGAGGGCTCACGCTGATTCTTGCGCTTCAGGCCACTGGTAGCTGGATCTGGCGCTGCCGGTGGCACTGCATCAGCAGGAGCGGCACGGGCCTTCCCCTTCATTGCAGGCGGTGGTTGGGGCATCGGCTTGCACTTGACCACAAGTCGTGGATCAGGAGGCTTTTGCAGTTTCTTCTTCACCATCGCTGCAGCACTACCACGCAAAGACGGCTTTGGTGGTGGCTCACTTTTTGGTGCATCCGCAGGATCCACCACCTCCTCCACTTCGGTAAAGTTACCCTTTTTGCGATTCTTCTCCCGCTCTTGGAACTGCTGAAGGATCTGACGCGCTTGAATCAAGAAAGCGTCATTGTCCACTGACAGCTCGGGCCCCTGTGCCTGAAGCTTCCAGGCAATGTATAAAACACATGTGTGTGAAATCAAGCCTGTTATTTAAGCCAAAGCACAGGATGTTCTTTGGGGTGTTTCCGGTCATTCTTCTTATCCAGCTGGTTTGCCCATTCTGGCATGTCCACCTCAGATCAGATGTATCAATCATGTACATTTCATGCATGGCCACTCGAACTGCCACACATGCCAGGGTACATGAGTTGGATCAGAATTCTTGGACTTTGCCATACTTGGTGCTGCATGCGGTACCTCAGCTTACTTCAAACAATCACCATTGCACAAGATTGAAGCATGCGTGCGCATATATAACCAAGTCACATGCAGCTGTCCCTGTTGGTGATAACCCTGATCCTGCTGTTGCTGTGGCACCTGTGGCCCCATTGGCGGTTGAGGCACCTCATTTGCATTCACACATGCTGGAACTGCCACAAATGTGCAATGAACTGCCACACATGCTGAACAAACTTCTAAATTAAGGCACCTTGTTTGCGTCCATGTTCGGCCCTTTTGGCATCCCCATTGGCGGTGTTGGTTCCATGTACAACGCCTCAATCACTTCAAATGGCATGACTTGTTTGAACATGCCTGTATACAAGCCAACCAAGTCACCTGATCATCTTGCTGCTGATTCATTTGTTGCACCTCAAGTCACTGACCAAACACGCAGACATGAAAGAGCCACACGTGAAACGCACACATGCATCATTTAGACAAGCGCAAACAAATTAAGCCCAGATGCCATTTGTGCAAGGAGGACCGGGTCAAGCACATATGGGCCCATCACCGATGGAGGCATCGCATTCCCTGCAGGCATCATAGGTGTTGGAGGAGGCATTGGTGGATGCATCCCAGCCATCGTCATTGGGGGAGGCACCATTGGAGCTGCAGGCATTGGGGATGTCATCTGGGGCATCATCATTGGCGGAGGCAACGGCATCGGAGCCGCCATCGGAGGTCCCATCATTTGTGGAGGCAGCGGCGTTGGGGCTGTCATCTGAGGCCCTGTCATTTGTGGAGGCAGCACTGTTGGACCTCCATGCATTGGGGCTGTCGTTTGAGGTGGTACACTTGGAGGCGCTGGCCGCTTTGGAGGTGGTGCCCTTGGTGGCACAGTGGATGCTGGGCAGGAAGGGGCAGGTGAGCCAGCTTCTGCTTCCGCAAGCTCATCATAATCAGCTGCCTCTACCTGGGATATTGCCAATATTAATAAGTGCATACACTACCATATACCAAGCGCATGCACTAATAGCCAAGATACCATGTTCCGCATCATGTTGAGAAGGAGCTCTCGGTGCCTTTCCCCTTCCTGAGTCCCCAAATCAGCAACCACCAATGCAGCAACAAGCAAGCACATGCAAATCAACACATACAAATCAGCATATCAAATTATAGCCAAGTCTCATGAAGTTGGCCATCTGCACGGGCAGTCTGGCGATTGGCAATCGTCTGCAGGTTCTCCAGGCCCTGTAGATTGCGAATCAACTCATTGTTGGACTGCAAGGCCTGCACGAGTGCCCTGGTTGCCTTCCGCATTTCTGTGGAAGCCTTGCCTCTTGGCATCTTGAGCCACGAGACTGCTGAAAGGCCAAATTGCAGGACCATTCACATGCAAGCTGGCATCAAGGAGATGTCATACACACTCACTCAACAGCACGAATATCGGCCTTCGCAGTCTGGCTCTGAACACCCAGATCTTCATTCCATACCACCAGTAGTACGATCAGCACGAAAACCTAGCACAAAAGGCAGGTAAGCAACTTCCAGCACTCCAAGGCCAGCAATGGCCCAAACACTGGGCCTGCAAAGGCCCAAGCATTAAGACTTAATCCTTCAGGCCCCCAAAGGCCCAAAGGCAGGCTGGCAAAAGCCCAAGCACCCAAGGCCTACAAAGGCCCAGGCACCAACGCAAATAATGAATTGCTGCCAAGGTTCCTTAGGACATTTGAGTTTGAACAAGCTCATCACCAAACCATTCACATCCCATGCGCGCCTTGCTTGATTGTTTGTGCAGTTCACACATGCATGCACTCATGCACATGTCTTTTAGTCCCTATATAGCTGGCGAGCCTCAAACTGCATGCAGCAGCATCAAAAGCTTGCTTGTTCAACCAGGCCACGACAATGGCACATAGCCACGCATGCACCAAACACTAACCCCCTTTAAATTTAAGCAAAATGCTGCAGGTTGCATGCACATGAAACGCTTACAAAAGCACAAATGTGCTTGCAAAAGCACAGATGTGCTTGCTAAAGCACATCAAATTATAATGTAAACTACAGAATTCCCTTGTGTTTTACTGTGTGTGCATGTACTGACATACAGAATTAGCTTGTGTTTTACAGTGTGTGCATGTACTGACATACAGAATTAGCTAGTGTTCTACAATGTGCATGCATATGAACATACAGATTTACCTTGCGTTTTGTGTTTCAACTTATATATTCAACTATATAGTTGAACATCATCATAATTGACAAAAGTACGGTCGTTTAAGAAAAGACCATTTTTTTTGGTCGTTTCAAAAATTTTTGGTCGTTTGACGAAACAACCAAAAAAAAGGTGGTCGTTTCAGGTTCCAGGTGTTGATCCTCATCCGAAAGAAGATCCCAGTCATATTCGGTGGTAGGATTTGCTTCCATCTTCTCAAGCTCCTCCTGGTACGCTCCATCCACAACAACCAAACACTGTTCCAAACTCCAGAACCAGTCTCTCCATTGTAATACCTCCCGTTCGCGGTCTGCTGGATTGAACACCTGTGGTCGAGGTATCAACTTTGCTAAATCCTTCTTCAACCCACTGGACTCGGTTCCACTCGTGGGCATTGTCTGACTTGCTGTGGCCTGAGCAGCCTGGCTTGCAGCTAACGAGGCGGGCCGGGCCGCTCTGATCAGGGCCTGGGTGAGCTCTGTCATACCAGCTCCTGCCATAGTGAAGTCTCCACTTGACCCGTCCATCACTCCTTCGTACCCTTCTCAATGTCAATGACTTCCTTTGGCTTTATGAGGTTGGAACTCCGCCAACTCCTCAATCAACCTGACAAATTCAAAGCTCTGGGCAAGGCAAATGTAGATGGTGAAGTCCTCTCTTGGCCCTCAAGTAGACTCAAGCGATGAGGGCGTGTCACAGCCACACTAGTTCTATGGTCGCTAGGCGGGGGCGCAAGACGAAAAGAAGGGGCTTCGGGTATCCGCCCTGGAGCTCCGACGAGACCTCACTGGAATCGTCTTCCTCGCTACACTACCATGCGGATAGTGCAGCTTTTGTGCTCTAAGGGCCTGCGGTTCGGTATGTGGTGAGGTGTGCTCATGTTTCGCAGATAATCATTTCCTACTCGGACTACTTGGCTATAATTTTTGACATCCAATCCGATCGCCCGTCGAATCCGGATTGGGCATCTGAGGCACCGCGGATCGTGTGCTCACGCTGCAAAATCTCGAGCAGGTCCTTAGGACTTGCTATACAGGAAACTTCTTTATAACTTTTAAGCTTTCGAGGTCTGTGGCCGCCAGCTAATATCCAAGAAGCCCGGAACAATAAAGATTAATTCGAGCCTGATAGGTTTGGGGATTCAGCCAGATCGAAATGAAAAGTCAAGTTTTTGTTGGTCACAAACCCAGGTGTCCATCGCCGAGCATTCCTTCACAGCAGCCCTGTGGAGCAAAGGAAGCACGGCGGCCTCAAGGTGAACATGCCGATTCACGGCACGAGGCCGACCCGATTCACGTCCCGTTCCGGCATGTGACCTGGAGCTTCGAGTCTTGAATCTCCGTGGCAGGCGACTGAGGCTAGGACCCACGGAAGGGGTGGTGAATGGAGACCCCGAATCACATCTAAGGGGCTATCAATAGAAGCGGTGTCCTGGTATAGATCCAACAAATACGTGAGCAAATGACGGAGTTGGCCAATGTAGAGGAGGATCGGCTTGATTGAACGCCCAATGCGATCCGTAAACGCGTATCCTTTGGTTTCCCTCCAAAGCCGAACAAAAACAACGGTATCACCGTAACACCCAAACATGGGTTTACTCAGGATTTTGGACTGCCGCACCAGGTCAACATTTCTCTAAACGGTCTGTTGAAGGCTAAATAAGGCTAGGCATGCACGTTCTTAAACTGCGGGACACTCCTCCACAGCTGAACCACTGGACCATCGTAGTAAAATGGAAGGTGGGATGGGGTCAGTCTGCACAGTCCCACGGTTGCCGCCTTGCGAACCAATGGACACACCAAAAGCCTTGCCCTTGGTGCCAAACGTCTGTGGCTTGAACGTCGTGTTTTGCTGCATGTAATACTACGTACAGTTCTACATGTTTTGTTGCAGTACATATGTAATATACCAGCACCCTACAACAGGTGCTTCCTGGTGACAACAGTCAACAGGTGCCCAGGTTCACCACCTGTGGTCGGGTCTCCAAACAGCCTGGCCAGGAGGGTCCTGGTATCTTCACGCCCGTTGCCACCCGAGTGGCAATCACGCGGCCCTTGGGCCAGGCAGCGAGCCAATCGCGTGCCTGCTTATCAAAGGTCGCCGGCTTCACATGGTCACTGTGGCAAAAGCCACATGCCACACCCTGAGGAGCAAAGGGCTACTAGGAGCAAAGGGCATCGCTACTAGGAACAAGGAAGCTACTAATTACTAGGAACAAGAAGCTATTAGAAGCAACAGTTCAGGAGACTTATATAGAGTATATAATTGAAAAAAAAAATCTGATGGGGAAGTCTGGACATTCCATATATGGAGTGTCTGGGACATGTTGTTGAAAAGCGTTGAGCAAAGCGAAGAGTATCTCCATGGCTTGTGAAGTCGTCATCGCTAATGCTTTTTGGGTTCAGGTTCAGCTCAATTCCAGTATATTTTCTCATATGCTAACTGTTTTGTTCTTGGCTTGCTTCCCTCATTGTTCTTTGGTGGTGGGTGCCAAGCCCATGCGGCATGCCGCCAGAAGGACCTCCAGAGACGACACGAGAAGACACTACGAAGCGAACCTCCCAAAGGCGCCCCTCGGCCACGAACCTCCATGCGGAGCTCTTCGAAGCGATGTTAAACGTCGGTTCGAAGACATGCGAAGTGTGAACATCATGTCATGTATTTACATATATGATGTATCCATACGAGGACACCCCCACTTTGGGGGCTTCTATTGATAGCCCCGAAAAGAGGTGATTCGGGGTCTCCATTCACCACCCCGACAGTGGGTCCTGGTATACGATGGAGCCTGAGAGACCTCCATTTTGGAGGATCCAACTCTCCATAATATGGCCTTATCCTACCAAAAAGGGATGTCAAATGGGTTCTTTTACATTAACGAGGATGAGGACAATGTTTGGATAAAGTCCAATGAGATTCAAAACCATGCCGATTTCTCTCTCTCTCTCTCTCCCTCTCTCCCATAAACATGATCCCTTATGATCCCTTCAGTTCCTTCCGCCACGGAAGGAAAACACACCAACAAACCCAACTTGGGCGCCTTGTCGCAGCATCCTCGTGCAAACTTCACGCAAGGCCTTCGGCAAAGATGTGGATGCCCATAACTTCCCTGCGATGGGCCTCGGTCGCCGGCTGGCCGCTGGGTGGAGACCGTGGTGGCGCGGCCACGGCTCACGGCCCGAAAAGGTCCAATGGTTGAGGTGGAACGCGGAGGACAAGCAGCACTTGGAGCTGTGCAAGTTGAAACATGTGCAGCTGGAAGTGGGCACAGCTTGATCCGGAATTCCACACTGAACCCATGTGACTTATGGTTGCCCACGCCAGGACGGAGTGTGAGGAGGTAGCCGAATACAGGAGTTCAGAAGGTCGTTCGATCCCCCCCATCACGTTGTCCACCTCAGGTCCGCATCCCGGCAGATGGACTTGCAAGAAGTTGATCTTGTTGGGTTCTTCTGCTTAAAGCTTGTGGGATGTGCTAGTCGTCCCCTGGGACGACTACTGGGTCGACCACTCGTCCCAGTGGTCAGGGCGACACGCCATGGCGCCTGGTTCTGGGCCTCTGAAGGCTTCTTGCTTTGACTCTGTGACGTGCTCCGCCCGCTCACGCAAGGTGGCCACCTGCACCAATGTGGTCGAAGGACGCACCGGGTTTTTTCTGTCCAGAAGACCACTGCTGGCCTATGTTGGCCTGATCACGTTGTTGGCTTTGTTTTGGGTCTTCTTTCTGTTCACCATGCTTGGACTAGCTGCAACACTTCTATAGTATATATATATATATAAATATATACACATTTGTCTGCAGTGCGTGGATTTGCGGACTGTTGAACTGGCAAGCATGATGCCGTGGCGCTGTTCATTCGAGACTGACTAGCACAGCGAGTGTACATGCGTGGGCCATTGTGGGAAGGTCTTTTAGGCTTGCTGCATTGTCATTGTGTTATCATTTTGATACCTGCTACAGACCCTGATTTCTATGCGGAAGCAACAATGCTGCTAAACAACACTCTCTGTTGTCTTTGTGGGGGAAACACAGCCCGCAATGAAGCACATATGAAAGGTGGTCGTCCATGTGCAGGGTTTTCATCATTTTACCAATGATGGAGCATCCTTCTGGCAAAACGAACATTAGAAGACTAAATGTGTGAGTGGAAGGAGGTTAATACTCTCTCAACTGAGCATCGCACTCCAACTTGTCTTGGTTCACAGGGACTGGGACCAGTGACCAATCAACAACGTTCGATAATCGATAAGAACAATGCTCATCATGCATTGAATCATGCCAAAATGAAGCCCATATCAATCATGCATTATTAAAAGTCAAATCTGTCTATCTTGATTCTTGATCTATAAGCCACCGACATCTCCAAAAGTGGCATCATCTTCGAAGGTACCCCCTATGAAACCTACTTGAGGTTATAACATTTGCGAATGGTGTCCTGTCTTACCCCATCAAAATTGTTCTGCAACATGTCGTCAATCCTTGATCAATTGCAAAGCTTTAACACACCTGTCCTTCACAAACAGGATACGAGCAGCGTGCCATACAGGGTCAAGGTATGCACTTCCTACTGAGCTTCGTGCCTCGAACAAAAACTTGTTGAGCCCAAGTGCTAGGCGTGAGGCTTACAACACCAACATGTCAGGAAAACCACTGGTGTAAAAGTCCATACCTGCAAGTCTGCGATCCATCAATGAGGCTTTTAAGACTCTAGCTGCTCAGGGTGAAAGGAACAACTCTAGGTCAAACCTCGTTTCAGGATTGGGAGGCTGCATCTTCCAATGGAGTTTTCACCGCTTTTGACATCCCGGAGGAGGATGGGGTAAGAAAGGCGAATTCCGCACCAACCGAACAATCGAGAACCAAGTACAGAAGGCCAAAGGGAACGACGATACCGGAGGTTGCCAGCATTCAGAGAAACATCAAACAAACGTTTTCTTTTTTTCCAGGACCCTCCTGGCCAGGGTGTTTGGAGACCCGACCACAGGTGGTGAACCTGGGCACCGGACTTGTCACCAGGAAGCACCTGTTGGAGGGTGCTGGTAGATAGAATGATATAGATATTTTTAGCATATAACTATTCACTCTCTTCCCTTGCGACTTTGTCAAACAAGGTGGATGTCTTCAACAGGTTCAAACAGGGGCGGCAAACACCGACTGCTTTGTGCATATCAGAGCTCCAACCAAATCCAAAGAAGGCAGTGAGACTCCCAAACCCTACCGAAGTATAACGAAGTACCATTCGAGAGGCAGCCGGAGCTCTGGGGCAATGTCATCCAGTGTCTGCCTGGTTTTAGAATGTTTTGGGCCTGCAATTTGCACTGCCATTCTTGGCGTTCGTTGCCAGCCACCCTGCGCTCACATGAACGCTTGCACGTTGGTGGACAACTGTGGAAGCGGGGCGGAATGAGGTCAGTCGGCTCCTCCTGAATGAAGGTAAAGCGATAGGAAAGCGCCATTGTACTCGAGCCCGTCCGGTGAAAGGGGCCCAATAAAGGGCCGGCAGCGGTTTTGGAAAGTGCTTCAAAGAATCCGAAACAGCTGCTGGCATGCAAAAGCGCAATATATATATATATAATATATATATATATAATATATATATATATATCCGAAATGGCTGCTTGAAAGCCCACCAAACCGTGGTTCTTGCAGGTCTGGGCCGTACGGCCAAGCTCTACATTGCTGCACTCGAATGGAATATCCAACTTCAGAATACCAGGACAGGTCAGCGAACAAAGCCACAAAATCCCACCGAACCAGGGTCTCTGGTTGTCTTCGAGGTCATATCTCTTCGGGAATGGATAATATAATGATAATTTATTACCCTGGGGCTCCAACCACCTCCTGCAAAATGGTTGGGGTGGACTTGGGGGGTCTAACCACCTTCTGAGGATATGGTTGTATAAGTCATGTCTACCTCTGCTGTTGCACACTATTGGTGTGGTCGCGCGATCGCGATGCCAAACGACTGATCAGCAAGCCCGCAAATGCGGGCCTTCATTCCCAGTCCGGTGATCATAGCTGTGGGCCTTCTGAACGTTGTTGCTGCTTTGCATAATTTAAGGATATTTAAGACGTGAACGTCCAGGGATCCATTGTTCTTTTAGTAATGTATGTTTGGGATGTACAAGTTAGTTGCTTGGAACGCCATGGCCATCCGTCTACTGAGCATACAGCGAACCGCACAAAATGAACTTGGCCAAATCCTCCGATCCAGCCTGACAGTGCATTCGGACACACACCCAATAAAATCATGCAAACTCTACACAAAAACCCAACCATTTGGAGTGTAAAACACTCTTCATGTGTCATGGGTTCATTAATCAAGAGTCAGCCACTTGAAAATCTTGAAATCAATCATGATGAATCATGTGCCCATTTCCCCCACTGGACCACCCGACTCGTATCACGTGATCTGTGCTACCACCGAGCTGGTGACCAAACCGGACGTCCGGCGACCCAGGACGGTCGACTTCAGACACCCACATTCAGACCCCGGCCAAGGCACGGTGCGCTGCTCCGCGCGGGCGTTCTGGTGTTTCTCCTCGAGGCGTTCCATGACCTGACCCCGAGCCGCGCCGCGCGCCGCGGGAGGAGGCGCTTGATCCGCCGGAGTTGCGATGGATCACAGGAGGTGTCATGTTGAGAAGAGCAAGAAGGCATCGACTCAGCCATGAGATGGACGGATAGTAAACCCATCACGTCCAACGGACTGGTTAAGCCGGTGCGTTGACCCACTGGGAGATGATAATATAAGTTTCTGAACTTGGCCGTTCTTGGTTTCTGGGCAAGAACCGTGAGCAAATCCCACATGAAAGTCTGGAGGCAAGCCTCCCGATATTGATGGCTGACTCCCCACATGAGATGTTGGATGAGAACGACCCTCTATGGGTTGAGGGGTTGATTGTCAACCTTAACGCACTCTATAGAGGCTCTCATGGTCCCCAACCAGTGATCACAGCCGAAATCAGGTGTGGCTCTCCAGCGCCGAAGCACCAACGAGCAAACACCAGCTGCACGACCTGTTTGGGACTGGCATACCAAACGGGGTGGGACTGGTGTTGATTCCAGGGGCCAATGGGGTGGCATATTTGTCTCCAGTCCCATGCACGCCACGCAAGGAATGCAGCACGAGACGGAGCTTATTTTGGCCGGTCTATTTGTTGGAACTGCCCTTGACATCCTTGACTGCCATCCAAAAAAAGCTACACGGCTACACATGCAACAGAAAAGAGGTCACCACGTCACCATGTCATCCTCCAAAAATTCAATGCCTGAAACTCCAAATAGCCAGCTATTGCCTAAAGAACCACCCCCTTTCTACCAAAGGCGTCGCTCCAACTCCACGCTTCTCAACGAACAGTCATCTTCAGCAAAAGCAGCGCTTTTGAACCAGCCAACGCGGGTTTCTGCGTTTTTAAGCAGCCGGTTCCACTCGTGCAGCCCGTTCCGAAGACCCGCTTATTAAAAAAAACGGCAGGACAGCGGTCCCCCACGTTCTGGAAGACCTCCTCGCGTCGCACGTCTGACTTGATGAGGATCCAAGCCTCGCCATCCAAAAGCGCACGCACCAAGAAACGGGCCAGTCCCGCGCGCCACGACAGCGGGGACACGAACAAATGTAGGAAAACTGAGCTGCTTTTGGAATGGATGGGCTGGATGTGAGGCAAATGAAGCCCTGGAGTTGCTGAAGGCGCGGATGCTGCAAGGACTAAAAATATTCTAAACTGCTAGGCTGAACATTTTCCCGTGTTTTGGACCACCATGTCCTGTAGAATGGGGGGTCAATGACGGTAGTCAGCTGCTCATCTTAGCGCCACAAGGGTACAACATAGAGTACAACAACCTCTTCCTGTTGCCTATCACTGCGACCGTCGGGTTAGGCCGTACCACCGGAGCTTCACCGAGCGGAGAGTGGAGTTTGACACCTACGAAGTCCACAGCCAACACAGCATCCTGGTACGTCCCAGACTGGAACAGAACGGCATCAGGGCATTAGGGCATTTGTTTGGAGGGCTATGGCCCTCTGTATTTTGGATTTCGGTGAGGGATTCTGAACAGATCCACACCTATTTAAAATGGTTTGGGCCTCCTTTGCTAAGTTCAGTGCATTTGGTCATATATTGGGTCATGGAAAAAGAACCTCGTCGGCCCGGCCAAAACCGCCCTAGGTGTCTAGAGCCCCGCCACCGCTGACCCGCGCCACGCTCTACGGCTCGTCGACCTCCTCATCACCGAGAATGGTCGCAGCTTCCTGGTAGCTGGTGCCTCCGTGCATCGAAGAGCGTCGAGACGACGAGTCAGACGTGTCACCTGGAAAAATCGCAGCTTGGGGTGTGGCGCCGAAAAAAAACGGTGGGCTGCGGCGGCGAAACGAGCCTGACCCCGACATGAAGGTGTTGGTATGTTTATGTATGCGTGGTTTATGTATGCGTGCCTTAAACGGTTCCACTGGAGAACTCGCAGGACGCAGGGAGCGTTCCTTCATCCACATCTCCACCGAAGTTCTTCACAATTGACGCGAGTCCCCGTCGTTCGCTTGACCAGCCATCTCACCCACAAACCCGATCTGACACGCCTTCACCTTCCCTTTTTCTCTTCCCCCCAAACCCCCAAATCCTCCCCAACACTCCAAAAATCCTCACACTCCTCCCGCGCCTAAGGCGTCCGGCTCTCCAAAACGCTCTTCCAGGAGCCGCTCCAAGGCGACCGCCGCGTTGCGCGCCTTCCGTCGCGCCTGACGCGCGGAGGCTGGTCGGTGTTGGAGCCAAGAAAGGTTCGCCTTCTCAGTGATGGAAGGGGCTGAGGACCGAATGCCTTTGGAGAGATTGAAACGGGTGCAGCCACAGCGCTGTATTTCTACCCCATTATAGCTGCTTATAGATGTTGAGAGATTTCAGGCAGCGACTTCTTGGCCAAATCGTCAATAAAGTCAATGCGTGATCCTGACTCATCTGAGGCTCATCTAGGCTCCAGCTCGTGCCCACACACACACACACACACTCTGTTCAGTGATGGAGCCCCTCAACAGAAGCGGACATACAAACCAACGGAGGTGCTAGGCTGCTAGAAGAAACTCCAGGCATAACAGTGCCCACGAATTGACCCCAAGACCATGCTTGCGCCAGACCTGGTTTGTTGCTGCGCCAAAAAGATCCTTATTGAAGTCAAACACGCACACCAAGACGCACCGGTGCTTCGGTGAAGCCGAGGCCCACCGACCCACCGAACGAGATCATCGCTCCTCGCATGGACGTCAGTTCCTCCCATGATTTTGCGGCGTAGTCAAGAAGCTGAAGACGTAGGTGAACATGTTGAATCGCAGGCCCTGCGGACTCTTTTGTCTGAGTCCTCCTAAATGAGACCCAGAAAATCGGTGCGTTTGGGCCGCTCTGTGCCTGGAGCTCCTTCTTTCGTAACTCCATGCTCAGCAGCTCCTCAGTGGACGAATCTGCCCCAGAAATATCTCAAATTTCGAACCTTCGAAGGGGTGATCTTGATGGTTCTTCCCCAGTGTTCATTGAAGAAACACGCCATCACCACACTCCAGGCTTCCTTGGAACCTGGGTTCCAGTGATTTTAAGTGCGGCCAAAAGCTTGACACTGGCCTATTTATCACCACCGCTGGCTGCCAAAAGAACGTCTGTCCAACAAACCAACACCAAATCAAACCTCAAAATAACGGTATCTGGCGACTTGCGTGTTTGGGCAACAAGTTGCAAATGGTTGGCAATAGCGGGGCAGCAAAAGAACCAATCACAAATCATATCAAATGCAAAACGCACGACCTTGTCAAAAACACATGTGGCAGCTATTGTGCGTGTGGTCTTGGGTGAGGTACATCAGTTACATCAGCCATTCATTCACATCGTGCAGGAGCAGCAGCTTGTCACCTGTCTGGTGCTTCCGGCCCTCAATTCTCCCTTCTGTTCGATGGGGTCCTCCATTTTCGATTGGAGCCCCCACGTACGGCACCGGCCGCGGCCCAAAATGACACGACCCAAGGTACCGCAAAGACCTGCTTCTGAAGGCCTTCACCTGGGGCTGCGATCCGGCGGCGATCGGTGTGAAGGAAAGGAGGCCCTTTTCGATCACATCGGTAGACGTGCCACGGACGGTGCCACACGACCCTGGCGTCACTTCGCTTCACATGCCCAACCGCCCCCCGCATCTCCCGCATCTGGGCGAGCGATCTTCAGGGTGTTCAGCTCTGCGACGTAGAGCTGGGCCTTTTGGGCTACTACGATAGAACAATTGAGGTGTTCCGCCACTGTATAGAGTATTCTGGATGAGCACTCTGCATCCCCAACTGTATCCAAGGAAGTCAATCACTCTTACCTTACCCTGTAAACAGCTGTTCTGGACTTGCCTCTCTCCCTTCTCTATCTCTATCGATATCCCTCTCCGTCTCTCTGTCTCTGTCTGTCTCTCTCTCTCTCTCAAAATATATATATATACATACACATATATGTCAGTCGTTTTCAGTCACATGTGTTTCTCTTTGTCTTTGGGGTTGTAGGTGAAAGAAGTATGTAATGTATTCACATGATTAAGGTGCCCCATCCGGCTCGTTCCGCCAATGCAAACCGCCTTGTTCCTCATGTGTTGCCATTACAAGACCTTCACTGCGTACATTGTTACATGATCCTTGGATCTCCTTGGTGTCATTCAACCTCCCCTCCTCACTTGCTGCTGTGAAGCTGAGGCTTTGGGCAGAAGGGCCAGCCTTGGGCAGCAAACTCTGCACCTTCCGCCAGTCCCAGGTGGCCTGGTGCCGGAGCCAGGAGGCCTTGCCACACAGGCCCACCCATTCGGGTTGGGGATTGAAGGGTTTTTCCAACCCTTGCAACACAAACGTTGAAATCCTTTCCCCGTGTCAGACCGTGTCCCCAATCATGGCAGACTGAAGCAAAATCCTTCACCATCATCCACACCTTCCAGTGGAGCCAGTTTCTATCATTACGACCGACACGGCCGTATGTCAGCGGCATAGCAGCATGTCCTGCCTGGAAAGTCATGAACATGCTCAAAGAACATGCAATAGAATTGGTTACTGGCTTCAACTCGCGAACAAATCATCTTAAATTAATCGGTTGGTTCAATCATCCCAAGTATATCAAGCTCGGAAGAACACACATACCTGAAACCACCAGACAGATAAAAGGCGATGATGAAGTGATACAGTGTTTGTCTTGGTCACCTCTTGTTTGTGTTGGCGGGTTCTCCACGGTGGTGAAACCAGGGTGCTTGTTGTTTGTGAATGCTCTTTGAGCAAGCGCCAAACCATTGGTACACTTGGCATCTCTTGGTGGGATCACCATTTGCAGTACTGTAAGTGCACTGGACTCTGGGTCAAGCTTCGCTTTACATACAAACTCTCTAGATGCCGCTTGCCACGTTTATTGGCAGCATTGGTCATCGGAAATGCAATCCTCCACCTCACGCCATCGCGGGGAAGTAAAGTAAATGACAGTGTCAGGGAGGCTGCTCCAAAGTTGCAAGATCTCAAGATCTGCAGCCACCCTCGAATCATTACCTCCAAAGCCCAAAGCCCCAGCGAGCCACCCGCAACGAGTCCAAGAGGACTCATAGCTACTTGAACATCGGCCAAGAGGCATCAATGCCTTGTTCCTTCAAGAACTCCTGAGGGCCACAGGCAACTGTTTTTTGTTTCAAGAGTGCATCTGCATGGGAACAAATCAGGTGCTCGGCAACAATGACAGTTTTGGCTCAGAATCATACACCACCTGGAATTCGCAAAAGCGTGTAAATCGGCGCAAATAGTGGGATGAATGGTGCAGTATCACATTTGTCCACCCGCAATCACAAAAAAGGTCGGGAACCGACGTGCCAAGGTTCAGACCATCGGTGCGAAGCGTGGCTTCAAGTGCTGCTTGGAAGTCCCCTAGGGCTCCTGGCTTACCTCCATTTCGAAGGTGGCTAGGGTGGGTGCCAGGGGGATCTAACCACACCTGAGGATATGGGCAAGGAGCCCAAGAGGGATCATGAACCATCTTCGTGCGCCCAGTTCTCTCCCCGTTCTCGTCTCCTGAAACGCTTGCCGCCTCTCAGCATTCGTCTCGGCCAATGGCCGATCGTCTAAACCGGTACTTTCGCCTTTCAGCTTCCGCCTGCCGTGCCGCGCTGAAGGCCCCTTCGGCCCGAACGCAACGCTGGCCGGAAGGCTCCCTCGTAGTCATGGCCCGAAGTGGTGGCAAATGAGACCGATCCTCTGGGTGGTTGCTTCGGGGTCAACTCAGATTTGTTTAATACCATTGACCATGTATACTGAAATATGTGATCTCCATCGCCCGTTCTGAGACTTTAGCCAATTAGGGCCCATTTCCAGAAGGTGTGACAATTCAGCCAGCTAGCGTTTCAACCAGGATCAGCACTCTGCACATATGGATGGTAAAGAATCCCTCAGCAAGCAGCTGAGACCTGAGACAGGCCCCTGAGATTCCGACAACTCGGGTGGCATGCTCCAACAGCTCACCTTCGTCTCCTGAGCAGCATGGGAATGACTTCAAGAGGATCCAGCCGTACAAGAACAAGCAAGTTGCCGCATTACTCAAACACTCCACGTATGGAATATGTGCCTATACAGCCCTTTTCAACCACCCCATTATAGATATGCCAGTCCCAATAGAGTGTCAGTTATATAAGATCTCTGGGTCATTTAATTGGGTGCCGGGATCCGTCATCAGCGTACCTGAAGCTACTGTTGAAAAGCACCCGATTGTGTTGTCCACTAGTCAGTACCGTACGACTCGAAAGGGCTCGGGGTCAGCACGTCTCTGCGGAAGACCTGCGTCGGAGTATCGCACTGCCAAATCCACTGCTGTGGTATAGCATGTGCTGAAGTCGGCTGCAGTGGATGATGGCTCATTTAGCCCAAACGGCCTCTACACCGGTTCCTATCCCACATGTCCTGGTATTCCTCACCCCCGCCACATGGGCGCGCATGGGCGCAAAGACTGGCCGTCCCAACATCTTCGTGCAGGTGGGTGCCTTGTTGTGATAGAAGATTCGCCCATCCCAAATCCTGGCGGCGGTTTTGTCTCCCACGATGTCTCACTTGGCTCCCTGGCGGCTCGACTCGCCACCACAAACGAGTAGGCGTCAGGATTCTTTGTCCGATGGGCAGCAACACTAACTAAGCAACAACTTCTGTCGCAAAACCCAAGCCACCAAAACAATCCGTGCTCCAGCGGCATACCTTCCCAAATCCATCCAAATCCTGATGGTCAGTTTCTCAACAGTCTTTTGGATCTTGTGGACTATCTTTTGGATCTTTTGGACTATCTCAAGTTCTCAAAGTCCAAAGGGTTCACCCTGAATCTTCCCTTCAGCCCAGGCCGGCGGCAGCGATCAAAGGGACGCCTGTATTGCTTCCACTCGTCCGCATTGATGAGCCGCTCGCTCTCGGACATAAGGGACTCCGGCTTTTCCCATTGTGACACGCCCGTCTCCTAGGTCGGCGCTCTCGCCGCGGGCCGCGCGCGAGGGCGGAATGGCGGTGTTGGGTGTGGGCCGCTGCGGAGGGTGACCACAAGTTCTGGCCCACAATGGCCTCTTGATTCAGTTCCTGCTGACAGAATTTTACATGTGGCAAAGGTTTGGCCGACCCGACCATCGAACTCCGATGGTGCCTCGTTGTGAAAGAACTTCCGACCATCGCCGGTTTGGTGCTCGCTCCATCCTTCGCCGCTGCCTTGCCTCCAAGGAAGACAGGTGTGTCAAAGCTGTGATGGCGTCTCGGGTCACTTATAAGGATCAACTGGTTGCTCTACAGAATTGCACTACGTACTTGAAATGATTGTGTATTGGACATATGTAGAATACAGACTTGATCCTACAGGGTTGATATACATGCATATTTCAATTATATATATATATATAGAAAGAGAGAGAGTACTAAATTACACAGAATTACACTATTACATCATATATCGGATTGTATAATATATATAAAGGCTCAGGCTCTCAAGTCCAACCCCTTTTTGCTTCGCAAGACCT